TGGATTTCTTTTTATGTTTCCTTCTGCCAGGGCAACTTGTGAGTTGGCGTTGTGACAACTGAGAAGGATTATTCAATACCATGAAGATGTGATTAATATATTTTAGGCCACTGTAATCATATTCAGTTGCATAATTATCACAGAGGTGCAACAGTAAGCTAAACAGGGTTTTGAAGTCAACGGTATAAATGAGAACTTTCAGTTTATTGAATTCTTTGTTAGAAGGAGGAGGAAATGATGTGCAGACCTGCAAGAGCTGTGTTGCTTATAGACTTCAGAGATTTTGATGATAATGCATAGGAAATATATGGTTCTGCCCTAAATATTTTAATCTTTTTGTGCCAATTTACAGGCTTTTCCAGAAGATAATTTGTTAATGTCACACCTTGTCTGTTACAAGCCTGAAAAAACAAATCTGAGTGTTTCTTCCCCAGGTTCTGGTGCCATGGGAATTTGCTGCAGAGGTTTATCAAAAATGAGTGCTTTGATTTACTTACACTTTTCAGAATCTGTGCTAGTAGTAGATCAGGACTCAAGTAATCAGATTGGGGTGGGTAACAACTTAATAGGTTGCATATGTGTTTAAGTCTAGAAACATAAAAGATTAAGTTGGTAGGGTTTATTTCACAAACTTGAGAAACAAAACAGAATTGGTACTAGAGCATCAAATTCCCTGATCACAAATGATTTTTAGAAGTACCATTCCCACTTGAAGTTAAGTGAATATTAGATTCTAGGCTGTTCTAGATTATGCATGTGGCACTTTCAGAGCAAGGCTGAGGGTTCTCTTTGTCCCCCTGAGATCGCCACACTATTCTCAGTCTTTCTGGAAACCCTCAGATACCTGGGAACAGAGAAACAGACTCAGAATTTCTGTTCATCCACTGCCTTTCTGCCATGCCACAAATAATTAGTAGAATTATCTGAAGACCTAAGGAGGCATACTTTTTTTTCCACAGCTCTTATTTTGATATTGATGATGTTTTTTTTTTTGAAGTATATATACATTTGGATTTGATTTTTGGAAGGGAAAAAAAAAATCCTTTTTTGCTAGGTCTTATAGCAGTCATGTCACATAAATTGGCAGATCTGTATACTTAAGGGATTTTTTTCTCTAATTAAATACAGTAGTAATGTCTTGCCTTTTGAAATGAAACCTTTGTTTTTTCATCTACATACTTGCAGAACAAACATGCTGTCAAAATCCTTAATGTATCCAACTCAACTATTTGAACATAAAAAACAGCATCAAGCTGTTATTTGTTCTGTTGGAGTGTACTCATATTTCCAATCTAAATCTTTTGTACCTGGTGATCTTAATTATATTTGAGCTGGAAGTAGTTTAACATTAAAGGGAATTACAGCAGATTAATCTGTAAACCTGCACAAATACCACATTCCTGTGTATGGAGGTAAGCAGGGCACGGAGTGTGTAATTACGTGTTGCTCTCTGTGTAGGCTGTGTGCATAAGGCTGAGGAGGCGGCGTTGCCATTCCTCGTGACAGCAGCAATTATGGCACACTCTCATGTCTTGCAGCTGTCAGTTACATTAGAAAACATACATTATTCCTCTCAGTAAGGTAATCTTCTAATCAGGGACAAGCAACCAAAAAAAAAAATTTTTTTTTTTGAAAAAACCGACTTGCCCTGGAAACAGGAATTAGTACACTAATTAGTGTATGAACATACAGAGAAATCTTCTAAACAGTGTTTGCTGTAATTTTTTTCTAAAGTGCTATAGCTTGAGGTCAGCCCAAGAAGGCCATTTATCTCAACCACCCATTACACTTTTTGCAACTAGAGAGACAAAAGAAAATCACCAAAAATTGGCAGAGGTATGTTTCTCCCGTCCTGATGCAAAAACATCACTGGAATCCAGTTGCAGCAGTTTGGCCTCAGTTAGCACGGTAGGAAAGCACAGTGTCAGCAAACAAGAATCATAATTCATACTGGTAAATACTTTTGAATGAAAGAGTATCAGTTATTTGTCTATGATGAAGACCTTTGGATTTGCTTGTGATTTTAAGGCTGCCCAGGTGGCATTATTGAGCCCTTTTAGGAACAGTTTGCAAGACGACAGGTAGAAAAATGAAGCTTCAGAAGAAATATAGGAGAACAGCAAGCTGCTTACAAGCAGTCTGAGTTGCAGAAGGTATGCTCTGGGATTGCACTGGGTACCTACTGGGCAACTTCCATGTAAGTTTTCAGATGGCAATAAATTTCCCAGTTAGTTTGATGTTGCACATGCTGCTGCCTCATTGCAGTGGCTTGGGAAAAACTGACAAAAATTTTAGATTTAGCATGTGTGCGTCTACCAGCAATGAAACTTCTTGCAAGTGTCCTGCATTTCATAAGACTGACACAGGTGTTGCCCATAGGACTGGCTGACATGTTCTGAGAGTTCTGGTTATGTCAGTGTCCTATTGCTTCATGTCCTTTGAGGTAGGAGCACTCTCTCCAGTGGTGGTTTTGGAATCCTGATGGTGGATGGTGATGGTCACCACAAATGATCACAAGGCACCGCGCAGGAACATCCTCCTCGAAACTGAGGGTGCCAAAAGTAAAACATAGGTTAGCAACTTCTCATTATAAAATAATTCTGGGAACTAAAAAAGAAAAAAAAAAAAGGGGAAACAAAAAAAAGCATGAAGCAGGAAAAAAAAAAATTCTGCCCACTTTCAAAGGCCTTGTCCTACCCTACACTTAGCCCCTGGCAGCTGGAAACTGAACCAACCTCCTTTCAGCACTGTAGGTGTCATGTTTTTTCACAGCTTTTTGTGATGTTTCTTCTTAAACAATAGTGCAGTACACACCAGGACTTTGCAGGTTTCCCCCTGTAATGGTGCCAGTATATTTCCACCCTCATTTGCAGCGTCTGTTATTACAGACCTTGGTCCCTTCTGAGCACAAGTGCTGACTCTGCCAAATGCACGTAGTTGTTCTGTGATGAGGACAAGGATCGTCTAGCGAATAAATGGAGAACTCAGTATTCCATTTAGTGCTGACCTTGAATTTGATCTTTCTTCTATCCTTAACAGCCCAGTCAATCTCTGTCCTGTTTAACCCATGTCATCATTGCTGTCATATCATGCAGCCACTTCTGCAACTGCCTTTTCCTTGATACTGTACATTTAAATTGCCAAAAGAAAGAAGAGAGAGCAAGGAAAGAATTACCATAAATTCTTCTTCACCTGTTTCTCAGTAGTGTCAGGAATGGCTGCACAGGTCTTTCCCAGTCTTTCTGTCCTTTTTTTTATATTTGTCCGAGGTAGAAACCACAAGTTTGATTGATAATGCAATTTGCATCTTGAGGCATCACTGGAAATACAATGGCATGAAAGGCTACTCTGGCAGAGCACACTTTTCCCTCAGGGCTGACTTTAGAAACTCATTGATGTCACTTCCTTCCTCAGTCAGCAAGTGAATTTTCACTAATTCTCAAGCCCAGCTGTCCATGCTGTCAACAGAAAGTTATTAAAATTCCTTTAAAGTGAATCAAAATAGCCTAAAAACAAATGTACTGGGAAACAGGAAAGCATCAGTATTCAAAGTCCACAAACCTTTGAGCAAAATAGTGTTGATCTAACCAGAGATTTCAAACACTCTTCTTTCCTAGCAACTTGTATATCATTAGAGAATGCTAAAAACACATACTCCTTTAATCTTCTATTACCAACAATCTATTTGGCTAAAATATTTGTTACAAAAATAAATCTTATTTCTCCTAAAGATGAACTCAGTGAGCAAGAGAATACATTTTAAGAAGTCTCCCCTAAAACTCTGTGGAGTTTTTTTTAAAGCATAATTTTTATATTTAGCAAATAAAAACACAACACAAGCATGCAGGAAGTAATTATCATAAGAGACAATCTTATAATGTAGCCTAAAGTAATTATCTTCATCTGAATAATCTATAATTCTTTCATTGAAAAGAGGAGTAGTCTCAGGGATGGGAAGGCAGGATCATTTTCCTTTATACTGTATATTAACACTTCAAATATTTTCACCTCATTTTAAAAATTCTGTTTGTGCCACACTTATCAATATGGAAAAGTTTTTTGTTGAAATGGAGTATCCTTTCCAGGGCTGGAGGTGGCAGCCACCCGAGCTAGGCAGGCTCCCCTGACAGTTAATAGTGATACTGACAGGTTGTAAGTCCCGTCCTATCATTGTTATTTTTAAAAACCCTCAGGGTGCACGTAGCCTAGCTGGATAGGCAAGTGTGAAATTCCTGACTTTCCCCAATATGTGTGGACAGTCTCCAGTAGCAAACTGATACCAGCTGCCCTTTTGACAACTAGTGCATGGGAGCAGTAAATGAAGGAAATTACTGCCTCTTTTGGTCGAAGAGCAAAGAACAGGTTGGAGGTGTCCTTGCTACTAGAGCCCCAGACAGTGTAGAAAAGCAGTGTTCGGTCTAGGTTTTGATTTTATCTCCAGAAGCACACTGAAGGACGCTGCAGAAGGAGGCCAGAATAAGGAAACAAGACCATAATTCAGCTTGCCACTTTGTGGATAATATCAGGATAGAATTTCTCCCTGGGCCAGCTGGTGCTTAGCATCAGTCTTGACACAGGCATTTAATTTTATTTTAAGGTAATGGCAGAAGTTGCTTTTCTCCTCCAGTGGTCAAATCCTGAGCTAGATGCTGCCAGTCTCTTGGTCACGTAGTACATCTTGCAACATTAAAACATAATACATATTAGAAAATTTTTGCTCTCCTTTGAATGTTTAAATTTCTTGTGGGGTTCCAGGTTAGCAAGATTGGCTACCTATCCCAATCTTCTTTCTGTCACATCTTTTTTATAAGAGAGGCTTGTGTTTGTTTTATTTTTGTGTATTTCCATTTCAAATTATCAAGAAATTTCTACATCTTAAATTCTGTTTCTTGATTATAGGTTTTGATTTTTTTTTTATTAACTTACTGTTTGTTACTCTGCATGTCCCTTATCATATTGATTAGAATATATGCAAACTAACTATTTTCTTTCCCTTTCAGAGTCTGGAAAAAAACTGCAACAAGAGACAATTAATCAGGTATTTGGAAACTTTCATACTTTTTGTTAACTTAATTTTGCAGGCAGAAGAGTTGTGGCAAGTAGAAAGGAGAACTTCACGAGATACACTAATATTAACAGTACAGGTGTGCTAAGGAGCATGTGTCAGACAACTGGCTGGCTCTGCAGATGTGCTGAATTCACAGGAGTAGCCATCATTTTGATCTAAGATTTGCCATTTAAGCAATTTAATTCGTCTACTTCCCAATGTGTTGATGCTGAGGACAAAGCCCAGAGGTAATTTGTTCATTGGTATTAAATTTTGTAGCACAACATTATGCTTGGTTTTTTCCTTTTGTTTTCTAGTATTCCTTTTAAAAGGCAGAAAGCTATTGATAAAAATACCTGAAGCATATGTAAGTAGTGTATTTCAGTGTTTCCTAGGTTATTTCTGCAATATTTTCATTGAGGCTGCACTAAACTGTGACATTGCTTGCAGAGGTGTTTTCCGTCTTGTCTTTTTTACTGTATCAAGAGTAACTACTTAGGAAGAAACCCTTATATATTGTAATTTGCCATTTCAATATCAGGAAAAGCATATATGAACTGAACTGAAAAGATTTCTAACCTGAAAGAGAGGAGGAAATCCAGAGTTTGCTTTCCTCAATTACTTGCCTTTGTGGATTGAAAGGACCCGACTCCACAAGAAGTGTGCTTGCTTGTCATTCTTGGGCTTCTTGTCCTCTTGCTGAAAGTACTGTCAACCAGATGGCATATAAATGGGCATCTGGATTGTTTGTGAGATATATTTTGAAATATCACTTAAAAAGTAGTGATTAAAATATTTGCAGTCTAGCAATTACCCTTCCTTAGGCCATTTTCCTTCTAAGGTATATATCGAGCCATTAGCGTAATCACATCACAGTTGTTTGCGAACTGATCACCAAGATGAAGAACTAACCTGACAGGGGACTGACCACCTAAAGCAGCCTGGTTTGGGTCTAACAGCAAGTGCCCTGCCATGGCCGAGCAATGGCACAGATGCCAGTGTGTCACTTTCAGTGGCCTGAGCTGGCACCCCTCTTCAGCAAGTAAACACTTGCATGTCTGGACACTTACAGGAAGCCTGGTCCTGTGGCCCAATGAAATATTCAGAGCTTTTACAACGTTCTCTTTATTGAGAAACTGATGGATAGATATTTAGTCCAGAACATGGCACTTTGCATAAGCAAAGGAAATATTTCACTTTTTAAAACGACTGTAGAACTATTTTGGAATTTAATGGGAGTTCTGTGCTTTGACTGACTTTATATCCTAGAACAAGTCTAATTAACTTTAATAACCAAAACTACATTTTAAAGTTAGCCTGAAATGTCTTGCAAAGCTACTTTCGGGAGTCTTTGTTGGCCAGAAGGGGGGGCACTTGTATTTTTAAACCACAACTAGAGGCAACGATGGCAGTGTGTGAGTCGTTGATTGGAGACCTAATTCTGCACATTTTCTGTGTGACAAAATCTGCTCTGTGCATGTCATTGCCCTTTTCTGAGGAAACATGTCTATTGTGATTTTTAAAAACAATTGCCACATTTTCAAAGGGTGGATCATATGCTGTACTTTGTGTGTCCTGTCTTGGTCTTTTTCTTTCCTGCATGCCACTGTCTTGCTTTCATTGAATGGTTCACTTGCTCTGTCTCTCTGCAGTTAACCTAAGAGTATCTAATTTTGTAAGAAGATTTCATTGTCTGTATATGCTGAATGTATCTAAATAAAGCTGTTAAAAGTTGATTTTTAGACATTCCCATTTATATGGGTACTACTTAAGCTGGTGATGTCCCATTCCATATGAATTTCCTTTCAATTTGCAAAAATTGAAAGAGTGTTTCAGAACAGAAATCAACTTCGTTTTCAAGTCTGTCATTTAGGGCACAATTACAGAAGCCCTTTGTATTTGATTTGTATTTTTATTGCTTCAACAAAAATATTTAAACTGGTGTTGATCCTGATGGAATATCTGTCATGGAAGGATTCTTTTTATTTTCAATACTGAACTTAAAATTTTATATGCAAGGTAAGATCCTTTAGTCCCCTTGAAGTTCAATTCAGCAACAGTGAGTTAAACTGGCTGCCAGAAATTTAAGTGAGGGAGAAGCTCTCTGCAGAAGATGGATGATGTTACAACTTGACAGGAGCAAGAGTGCAAAGGGGCAAATAGCAGGAAATATCTTGTTGAGAAGTGAGTGAAACAGAAGGGGAATGGAGAAATGATAAAGCTGCTGTCCCAGTGATCTCCTGCTGGGTAAATCCCTGACTGTCTGTGTGTATCTGGGACCTCTCTAATCTTGAAAACCACTGTGGTTTCTGTGTGGTTCTTAGCTCTTCTAAAGCCTAAGCAAAGTTTAGTGAAACATGACACTGACAAAACACTAAGGGAAGATCTGCTTCCAGAAACCTTTGGCTACAGTTATCTTCACTAGCTTTTGTTCCCTTTGATCATAAAGCATCTGCTGGTTTTCCTCAAGCAGCATTTTTGTCATTTATGTATATAAATATGTATATTCATTTAACAGCAGTGGTCATCTACCACCAGCAGTCAACCAGATGTAGCACAAACTCTGCTTTTTAATACCTGTTCCTAACTACCTTTGCAACTTCAAGGGTAAATCCTGTGACCAATGTACAGCCTGTTTACTGCAGCATATTAACAACTGCTGAGGAAAATGAAAGGAAACAAGAAAAACCCCATGTGTTTCTATGTAACAGTCTTGGCAAAACAACACATTACAGACCACAAATCAAAATGTGTCTGGGGAAACCCTTTATGTTTCATGCTTATAAATGCTTGTCATCCTGATATTGGCTTGAGTGTACACTCCTACATACAGTTTTGTCCAGTGCCTCTGAATCTCTGAAGGACTGACAAGAATATGTGTATTTGCATTTGGATGGTGAAGTTGCTTGCAGAGTCAGACTTTTGGGTTAAAATCCCAGCTGTGTTTGAGCTCAGACTTGAGCCTGTCCCTGCTGCAGTGAAGCTGCAGGTCAGGTTGGGAGATGAGTGAGTGCTCCACAATATCTGTCCCCCTGTTTTGTCACTGAGGAGCTTTTTGTCAGACAAACTGTCTTGAAGTGGCACATCCATACCTCAGTCTTTTAAATGCTCTGTCAGGAAGAATTTCCCTTTCTGCACATGGGCTTGCAAAGCAGGAACACAGAAAGGATAATGATGAGGCAATGTACTTGCTAGAGCTGGGGTTGGACCACGGATAACTGCAGCTCTGACATACTGTCAGTATGTGTACACCTTGTGCCAACGAAAAGAAGTCAAGGACAACTCAAACCTCTGTTAAATGACAATATAAGTTTGTTCCACAGGCCATGATGAGGAATAGTTTATAACCTGAATGTTGCTTGGGGTACATGGTATAATAAATCCATATTAATATGAGTGAAAACTTCACAGTTCAGACCAAACTCCTTGGTTGACCTTGCACTCTGCTGTAGTTTACTCCAGTTCTCTCCTCCATCTCCTTCATAGTCTCAAATGACCTAGCTAAAAAAAACTTCAGTCCCTTTATGCCAGCTTCCAAGTCTTGCCACTTTGAGGTTATCTGATAGGTATGGCACGTGCTTCTGTTTTCCCAGTTTGGGGTCATATTCCTCAGTGTTATACTTTATTCCTCCAAAATTAAGAGTTTGAAAATCTACGAGAGAGCTAATGCTTTTAGCCCACTAAACAAACTGAACTACTGTTTCACCCTCACGTGCTTTATAAAATCACCTAATGGTTGAGGCTGGAAGACTTCTCTGGAGATCATCTTGTCTAAACCCCTTACTCATAGAGCAGGTTGCCCAGGATCACATCTGGCTGGATTTTGAGTACCTTCAAGAATAGTGATTCCTCTGTTCCTGGATATTCCTGGATGCCTGTGCTTGATATTCACACAGCAGAAATGTATTTTGTTATATCTACATGGAATTCCTTGTGTTTCACTTAGTGCCCACTTCCTCCTGTCCTGTCACTGGACACCTCTGAGAGGAGTCTGGCACCATCATTTTTACTCTCCCCACTTCTTCCCTCCCAGACTACATACATTGGTAAGATCTCTCCAAGCCTTTTCCAAGCTAAACAGCACCAGCTCTCTTGGCCCTAACCTTTAAATACCTTGTTGCCCCTTCACTGAACTCACTCTGGCGTGGCTACCTCTATGTCCATTTATACACTGGATGCATTCCAGTATGCCCATGTCTTGCACTGGGAAGTCCAGAACTGGACACAGCACTCCCAGTGTGTCTGTGTCTCACCGGGGCTGAGCAAATGTGAAGGATCACCTCTCCTGCTCTGCTGGAATTGCTCTGCCTGATGCAGCCCAGGAGGCCGTTGGTGTTCTTTGCTTTGGGTGCACGTTTCTGGCTGACAGTCATCTTGTTCTCCTACAAAGCTGCTTTCCCACTCTGCAACCCCAGCCTGTAATGGTTCCTGGGCTTATTTTTCCCCAGCTGTGGGACTTTGCATTCCATTTTGTCAAATCTCATGAAGTTCCTGTTTAGCCATTTTGCAAATCTGTTGAGGTCCTTGTGAATGGTAGCACGACCCTCTGGTGTATCAGCCAGTCCTCCCAGTTTTGTACTGCCTGCAGGCTTGGTGAGGGTACGTTCTGTCTCATCATCCAGGTCAGTAATAAAGATGTGGGAAACTTCTGGAGCCACCATCGACCTTGGGGCAGTAGTGAATGGCCTCCAGCTGCATTTCTTGCACAACTGTTTGAGCTTAAGTTTCCAGTCCAACTCACTGAGCACTTATCTAACCTGTAATTCATGAAGGTGTTATGGGAGTGCCAAAAGCCTTAGTAAATTTGAGATAAACAAGATCCAGGACTCTCCCCTCACTTCTGATCAAGTCAACTCCTTGTACAGGGCTATTAGACTGGTCAGGCTCAATTTCCCCTTCATAAATCCATGCAAGATGAGATTTAGCTGGAGGACAGTTACCAGTGGAGTACTCCAGGGGTCACAGCTGAATAAATACTGCTTAAATTCTTC